ATAAATATAAAAACTCCCTGGGCATCGGAGTCTGCGTGAAGGACACGTGGAGGCCCTTTGTAGAAGCTCGCTGGCAGGCTCGAGCCCCTCAGCCCCAACCAAATAGGCGAAAAGGAGACAGGGAAAAAGTTCCATCAGCCAGATTTATTACGAGTGTCACACTCCAGAGCAGTCCCGTCCAAGCTGGGGACCGAGGGCTCCCTGGACGAGGCAGACTGCTGTGGGACAGGCCGTGAGAACCAAGGTGAAGAGGAAGGCAAGGCTGTGCGCACGTTAGTGCCCAGTCTTCTACCTGGGCAAGGGACCCCGTGCTTTCCCTTCCTGGCACGGGCACCCCTGGACCTGACCTCGGAGGCAGTGACCCCTGTGGTCAGAAGCTCCTCCTCCGCTGGAAGAGATCAGTCCTCTGTGGATGCGTTCATGGGACTCTGACGCTAGCCCGAGGTGCTGCTCCGTCCAGTCTCTCGTCAAAGGGGCCTCGGCCGTCTGGCGGCGTCTCTGGGGGGGCTGGGTGTTAGGGTTCCCCTGCTGTCACGCCCCGGCGCTCCCTGCTTTTCTCTGACTCTGCTTGTCATGGTGCGCGTGGCAGGACCTGGCTCGGGTTAGAACTCACTGATGGATGTAGATACCTGGGAAGTGGTTTGGGACTGTCTGGGGGTGGGGAAGGTGCCCAGTGCTACCTGTGGGCCATGCAGCCAGTTTGGGGTGGGGGGGGGACGGGCAGTGACGGAGCAAGGCAGGTGCTCAGATACTCAGGTGTCCAGGTTCAGATATGACCTGGGGCCATGAGACACCGTCCAGCTCCCACCAGCGTCCACCTTGGAGCCTGCCGAGGGGCCATTTCCCCTGAACGGTCCGGCTAAAGCTGGAGGGTCGGAGACCTGGCATCTGAGGCAGGCGAGGCTGGAGAAAGGAGGAGGCTAATGCGGACGGCCCGGGTCCTCCAGCTCACTTCTTCCTTGTGAGACTTCAGGATTGTGACCGGGGTTCCAGTCGGAGAGCGTCAGAGATCCCCGTTCCACACAGATGCCGTTGAAACCATCTCCCCGTTGCCAGTGGGGTGCAGTTGTGTTTTGTTTCTGGGAGGACAGTGCAGGAGCTGGTCGTTTGCGGATGGCTTTGAGTACGATGCAATTAACTTTCTTAAAAACATCCCATTTATCTGATGTGATTCCACCCTTCTCCTAGAGGAACAGCTGTTGGTGTTCGCAGCCATAACCGTTTGAGATGTTATTTTTGAGCATTTTTACCCGTTTTTTTTTTTTTTTTTGGTTGTTGTTATGTCAGATAAGATAAAAATAAGTATTTGTTGCTACAGTTTCTTCTGGTACCAGCGTTCTGCATTTATCTAAAAGGGCCAGCTGTTGAATTAAGGACGGAATAACGAATTCGAGATTTGCTTTAAATCCACCTCTGCGGAAGTAGGTTGTCTTAAGAGGTTTACCAGGAATCTTTAACTTTATCCTTTCTTAAGGAAGATACAGGAGATGAGAGACTTTTTCTTAATATTAGAGTCCTATTTACACACACACACATACTTCTTAAACTTATTTTAATTTAGGCAGGAGAAAGAAAAATTATAGAAGTGCTTAGTTTCCTGAACTGTTTTTTCATAATCTCGGTGTTCCTGGAACTATTAAAACTGATCTATAGCAAAGCTCTCAAATAGAGAATATTCGGTGTAGTTTTTTATACATACTCATTATGCCACGGACTATTGTGGTTCAACATCAGAGTTTCGCCTTTAAATTTCTGTACTGCAGTGATTCACGGTGTTTACCAAAAACAGGATTATTTTGTTGCAAGCCTATCCCTTATCTGTTCACTGCCGACCAGTATATCAGCTACTGAAAATCAGGCTTATACTTTGTGGGTTCTTTCTTTTTTTTCTAGTAGTGGAGTGAATCGGTGATGATAACTTGTGCTCTCTTGAGTTACCAGGTGTATAAACAAAGCAATTTCTGTTGCGCTATCTTGCTTGTGCTGTTAAGTCTCCAGTCAAGAAACAATGTGTGTGTGTCTGCGTGTGTCTGCGTTCGCCATAGTTTGAAGGAAGCTAATTAAGTGTCAACCATAAACCTTTATACTTTACTTGAATCAACTCCAAAACCAGTCCAGGCATCTGAATATTTGCAGTGATAGCTAATACATAAGCTGTCACATGTTAAATGCTTATCACGTGGATTCTCAGATGGATTCGACATCGAAGATTAAAAGACAAAATAAAAAATACCCAGCATCTTTATGTTTCGGTAAAGTGAGTTTGTATACATAAAGAACACAGTAAACACCATGTGTATGAGCAGCGTTATTTTGCTTTGGAATACTTTATGTCCTTTTGTCACTAAATAGATCTGGGGCTGGGGACAGAGTGGGGAAATGGCTATTGTACAATGCCATCTCTCTTTTTTAAGAAAAAGAGAAATGGCTGGCATCTACTCATCTCAGTTTGCTCATTTAATCATATTTCCCTGACACCTCTACGAGTCTCATTCTGTCTCGGGGAAGGCAGGTGAGAAGCTGGAGAAAAATGGTATTTTTTTTTTCCCCAGCCAATTCCTGTGGAAATAGGACCTTATTAACTGTTTCTACCTTCTGTAACAGAACTACCGTCTTACCTGGATAAGTAGCCCGGGTTCTGCAGGTAAGGAGTGTAGATGGAAGGGTGAGAGGTAAGGGTGTCTGGGTGTGCGTGCGTGTGCACGCGTGTATGAATGCGCATGCGCGTGGGGGGCATTTGCAGATATGAGAGGAGCAGCCACGTTTTTTCTTACTTTCACTGGGAGATGCTGCCTAAAGCATGTCTCTTTCTGTTCACGAGAGGCATCTTAGTTCTCAGGAAATGTGAGCAGGGATGAAATCCTCCCTCAGTGAACACAGAAACAGCTCCATCAAAGAAAGAGTTCATTGTAAATTCGGTTATAGTGACATTCTGGAAATTGGCACTTGTCACTACTTTCTCTCTGCTCTCACCGCTGGCATCACCGACAGATTCACGGGGTTGTTTTAGGGAAAAGTTCCTTAGATTCGTATGTGATGTCTAGAAAAGCTAATAGTCTTCGCAGATAAGTTCATATTTTGTTACATGGTTTCATTAATAAGTATGTATTTTATAGTTCAGTTTTTGCAGCTTCCAAGTGGGCTTTTCATCTTAGATGCTAGGAAGTCGAACTACAAAGAAGGGAATTAAAGAAGAGACAGAAAAACAAAATAAGACAAAATCACACAGGCACGTGTATGTACTTCCTTTGCTGAATAATTCGTATGAATTAGCAGATTCAGAAGCTGATAGGGTCAACAGCCCAAGACTGTTTCTCCTTGGCTTATTCTTCCATCACAGGTGTATCTTGCTCATTTATAATGCAATAGCTTGCTATTTAAAGGAAAAAAAAAATACTTCAAGTACTCTGGCAAGCTAAACATGAGCCTCTGAACGTTTATGTAAACCCGCATATTTTCAACATGAAAGGTAGTTTTCAAATTCAAAACCAAAATATTTATTAAGGTGTCATGCGCACTTAAATGTTACACATTTTCCTTGCAAGTTGCAAAATGAAATTTTAAATCATTGTCAATTTGTTTCTTTTAAAATGTCTAAGTTGAAACATAAAGGTACCAACTATTGATACACGACTTGTGTGGATCTTAAGGGTGTTATGTGGTCTCCCATCCAAGTACTAACCGGGCCCGACCCTGCTTAGCTTCTGAGATCAGATGGGATCGGGCTCGTTCAGGGTGGTATGGCTGTAGACTTCTAGCATTCTTCAAATGATAGAATTATAGAGCTGGAGACAAATCAGCCAGGGGTTAGGGGAGGGTGTGACTGCACAGGGGCAGCTGGAGACAGTCACTTGGTGGTGATGGGGCATCTCTGATTGTGTGACAATGATATGAACCTAGAGCTGTGATACGATGTCATAGAACTATACGCAGAAGCAGAGACACGGATGATGAGCGCATTCAAAAATGCACAAAACCCAAGTCAGGCCTGGACTCTGGTCAGTTGCATGTGCTGTGTTAAACACAATTTTCTGACTCTAAGAACATAGTGAAGTTACGGTAAGGTGTTACCTCGGGGAGACTGATGGAGACATCGGATCTCTCTACTACTATTAAAATTCCTCAAGAATCTCTAATTATTTCAAAAGGTAAAGTTAGCAACACGGTCCTGCT